TGGCAGGAGGGGTGAGGGTCTGGGGTGCAGACCCACCAGGACTGAAGTGCCTCCCACAGGAACCCTAATGCCAGCCATGCCTTCATTGTGTTAGCCTCCCCTTTACATTTTAATATTTTTTAAAAAAAGTAACAGTGAGCAAAGCCCGTCCCACACCCCCTTCCCGCCGGAGGGCCCTGCCTTCTGGGCTCCCTCAGTTCAGGGTCTGGCCAGTGGCTGCTGACTATTTTGTTCCGGAAACAATGTAAATGGACAATCTGTGTTTGTTACGCTGAAAACACCAATGAATATTTTGAAAATAAAGATGCTTTTCAATAGCCACCTTGCCCGCACACGACCCAGGCATTCATCAGCTATAAATAACATGATCAGCCTTCTCTTAGCGGGATTTCCCACTGGGCGCAGTTCTGTCTTTTTCCTTTTTCATCTGATGACTTTGCCCATGTCGTCAAAGCACACGTTTTAACGTTGGGATGACACTGCATCCCAGGAATAAACTACAGGTCACTACGCCACTGCTGGACGTTTAGACCTGGTGTGGGGAACGTCCCGCCCGCCGGCCGTATATGGCCCACAAAATCACTGGGTCTGGCCCTGCCGAGGCAACCGCAGGCAGGACTTGAAATTCAGTAAATCTAGGAGCTTTTGTCATAGCTAATTTTTAAGTTGGTAATTTTGTGTGGCCCATGAATGATGTTATAAATATCCAAATGGTCCTTGGCAGAAAAAAGTTTGCCCACCCCTGCCTTAGACGGTGGTGGATTTCCCGTGGAGCAGTGCTGCAGAGCCATCCTTGTGCAGGGCGCCTGTTCTGTGGTTCATATCTTTAGACTCTGCTTCCAACAGTAAAATTACTGGGCCAAAGGATGTCAACATTTAAAAGTTTCCCTCCTGCACGTAAGAGGTTTCTAAATACCTTTTTTATTCTTAAGGAGTTTATCACTTTCTAGCTAATTTTTTTAAAATAATTTTTTATTTTTCAATTGCGGATGGCATCCCAGGTTTCTGAATACTTGGTATAGAATTACTTTGGGTCATTGGTTCATCCAAAGACTTTTACTGGAGGTTTTGCTGGCAATGGGATGATAACCGGACAAAGGACAGGATGGTCCTGACGGTGGCTGAGTGGAAACATCTGGGACTGGGGGTCAGGTGACCCGGATTCCAATCCCGTGTGCACTGTTTCCTGTGTGATTTGGGGAAGTCAATCAGCTTCTCTGAGACTCAGTTTTCTCACCTGCAAAATAGGCATTTCAGTGATGCCACCTGGCAGGGTCCTGCAGGTTAGAGGGAGTTGAGCAAGTGAAAACAGCCCATCTGGCTGCAGGCCTGGGTGGCATCGGTGGTGTGGGCTGAATGAGAGACCACGAGGACAGATAGGTGAACGTCTCTAACTCTGCGGGGGATGCTGGATTCTGTAGGAGGATTGGGAGGCAGCCTCGTAAAGGAGGTGACATCTGAGCCTCCCCTAAGGATGAGTGGCCTTCACCAGGCAGACGGTAGGAGGCAGGTGTCCCTGTACACATGGCGGGGAGGGCAGGGTCTGCGTGGGGACTTGTTCCCCTGTGCGGGATGTGGATTTAACAGATTGTAACCCAGGGACTGCAGACCCTCTGGGCAGCCTGGAGGAGGAAGGCCCCAGGACAGGCAGGGGCTCACCTCTCGGGCTGGAATTTGCGGCGGGGCGGTGTTGGAGCAGGTTGGGAGCGAGCAGGCACCGAGGCGTTCTGGGGTGGACAACTTGTTCAGGAGAGTCAGTGAAACTGAGGTAGGAGAGGTGAATTCGGGAGCAGTAAGTGTGCTGGTATTTGGGGGTTCTGGACAGAGCAGGAGGAAAGCATTTGGTTTGTTTACAGTGAGTGTACACCGCCCACATCGTGACAAACTCAGGCCGCAGCAGCTGGGGCTCCCTCTGTGTGCCGGGCAGACAGGCTCGGAACACACCCGAGGCCAACGCAGGGCGCTGCCTCCACGGGGCCTCCGGAGAGGGAGGCGTGGCCCAACTGGGCACTCGGTTTTCAGGTTTATGAGCTTCGCATGTCACCAAGGGCCACGGGACGGCCTAGAGTGTTACCCAGATGCTGCCGCCTGAAGTTAAGCCTCGGGTCTCCCACTGGTGACTGTTTCACAGTATCCCTGTGGTATTAACGGGACCATGCTTCCCGGACCTGTTCGTGGATCTCTTCTGCCTTTGGCTGTAATCGATGTGGACACGTGTGTTTGGTTTGCTCACGCTGTCACCAGGTGTGGGGATGGGTCCGTGTGCAGGAAAGTACAGTTCGAGGGTACAGTCGTCCCCCTTGCCCACGGCTTCACATTGTGGGGCTTCAGTTACCAGCGTCGGCCTGCAGTCTGAAAAGACGAAATGGAAAATTCCAGAAATAAGCCATTTAAAAATTATATATCTATATATTGATTTCAGAGAGAGGAAAGGAGAGGGGGAGAGAGATGGGAACATTGATGATGAGAGTCATTGACCGACTGCCTCCTGCGCGCCCCCTACTGGAGATCGAGCCCACAACCCGGGCATGTGCCCTGCCTGGGAGCTGAACCGCCATCTCCGGGGTCGTGGGTTGACGCTCAGCCACTGAGCCACGTGGCCTGGGTCATACGTCTTTAAACTGTGGGCCCGCCTGAGTAACATGCCGAAATCTCAAACCTTCCAGCTCCATCGCGCCTGGGACATGAACCATTCCTTCGTCTGCACGCAGTAGGTGCTGCCGGTCCGCTAGTCCACTAGTCACTGCGCAGCTGTCTTGGTTATCAGACCAACTGTCGCGGTGTTTGCAGTGCTTGTGTTCAAGTCCCCTTATTTTATTGTTATAATTGTCATGTCTTATGATTAGTTATTGTTCCTCTCTTACTGTGCCTGATTATAAACTTTATCATAGACGTGCACGCATATGGGGGGAAACGCAGCACATCTAGGCTTCAGCACTGTTTGTAGTTTCAGGCATCCACTGGGGACTTGGAATGCATCCCCGAGAATCGGGCTGACTGCGTTCTGAAGGGTCCCGCTGAACGGCTGACTCGGTTGTCATTGTCCTTGTGTGCACGCGTGTGCCTGTATATGTGTGCACACACGTGTCTGCTCGCGCTGGTCGCTGGCTGGGCATGTGTGTGTCTGCGTGTGTGCCTGTGTATGTGTGCGCACACGTGTCTGCTCGCACTGGTCGCTGGCCGGGCCTGTGTGTGTCTGCGTGTGTGCCTGTGTATGTATGCGCACATGTGTCTGCTCGCGCTGGTCACTGGCCGGGCGTGTGTGCGTGTGCGGTGTGCACCTGTGTTCACAGGTCGTCATTGGCCCTGCCTGTGTGCGGGTGTGCGTGTGCTCACGGGTTGCCGCTGGCTGTGCGTGGTGTGCGGGTGTGCGTGTGCTCACAGTGACTGCGTGGGCACACTCAGGAGTGCTTGCGCTGGCATCTGAAGTCCTCCACCTGCAGGTGCTGAAGCTCCCGTCGCTCGCCGGCCGCGTCGCCCCCGGGCAGACAAGATGGTCTCTGTCTGTCCCATCAGCCATCGCTGAAAATGCGAGTGCCACTGCCACGTCCCCTCAGGACCCGGCTCTGATAACGTGCTAATGAATGATTACAGTTAATGAGACACCCTTCTCGGGCCTTATCAGTGTATTTTAATCGAGCCTTTCTGGAAAACATCTTAACCCCCAAATTCCCAAGTAGTTGATGGAACGGCACTGCAGCTAGTTATTCCCTCAAAAAATTAAAATAATGAAAAGTAAGTAAAATACATTGTTCAGATAAGTTAAGAGGTGAGGCGTGCAGTGAAGTCCCTTGGGAGTTAACAAGCTCTGCCACACGTTGGAGGATCTAAAATGTCCTGCAGCAAAAAAACCAGGTTTTATCTAATGCTCTGTGTGCCCTCCAACCCTCTCACTGCGGGACAGCTGTCAATATCGGCAGCGTCCCCGGGGAAATGCCGCCTTCAGCCCAGGAAGTCCCTGTGCCGAGCAAGTGGCACCTGTCCTGGGCTGCAGCACAGCTACTGGCCTCGTTACAATTAGAAAAGGCTTTTATTGTGGTAAAACGTCCCTAACGTTAAAGTTGCCGTTCTAGCCACTTCTAGGTGTCCAGTTCAGTGACGTCAGGCACATTCACACCGCTGTGTGGCCGTCACACCGGCCGTCCACAGAACTTTCCAGCTCCCGAAGCCAAAGCTCGGTCCCCTCAGCAGCGGCTCCCGGTCACCCCCCGCAGCCTGGCCCCGCCCCCTGCTGCTGGTCCGTGGACCTGACTCCTCTAGGTGCTCATGTAAGGGGAGCCATACGGGATTTCCCCTGTGAGATGGGCTCATTTCGCTGAGCACCGTGTCTTCCAGGCTCATCCACGGTGCAGCAGGTGCCAGGATTTCCCTTCTTTCTGTGGGTGACACACTCTGTTCTGTCCATTCCTCTCTCCGTGGACACTGGGCTCGTTGCCCCTTTTGGCTTCTGTGAATAATGCTGCTTTGTGCCACCTGGCTCTTTGCCACCTGCCTAGTGCCCCTCTGGGTGACTTCTCCCTCCTGGCAGGGGCTGAGGGTTCTCTTTTCCTTTTTAGTGAGGACCAGACCATTTCTATCCCTTGTCATTGAGGAGTCTTTATATTTATGGAAACCGCATGATTCTGTCTGTGGATTATCTCGCCCTAAATGTTGACAGCAGGTCCTACCCGATGGGAAGGCGCGAGGGACCTGTAGGTCATTGCTCCTGAAAGGGGAAGCCTGCAGAAGAGGGCGACAGGGTCCCCTTCCCTTTCTGCCCAGCTGAGTCCCCAAACCCTGTCTTCAGAAGGGGGCGGATACCTGCCCCCCGGCTCCGGCTCCCTCCTCGCAGTGTCTTCTCTCAGAAGAGCAGGTTGTCCTGGCCGAAACCTAATCCCTGCGGCCAAGGTGCAGAGCGGGTGGCGGGTGGTCACATCAGGGGGGTAGCCCCGCAGCCCCGGGGCTCGGGGAGAAACGTCTCGTTGAAGACGTGGGGGCGCTGGGGAGGCCGCGTCCCTGAGCGCGACTTCTCACCGTGTTTCATTTCTCTGCCGTAGCTTATGTTCCCGAGGAAGAACTGAAGGCGGCAGAAATAGATGAAGGCGGCGTGGAGGACGATGGGCTGTCCCTGGACATTCAGGACGACGCCGACACCAAGGAGGCCCAGAGCTACCAGGGCTCCCCGGTCAGCACGGCCACAAACCAGGACGCCGGCTACGGGTCGCCCTTCAGCGAAAACAGCGACCAGCTGGCCCATTTCAAAAGCTCCGCCTCCCGAGAGGACAGGGAGGACCGGACGGGCGCAGACAGCGCCTCCTACCCCCAGGACAGCCTGGCGCAGATCAAGGCCGTCTACGCGAACTTGTTCTCGGAGTCCTGCTGGTCCAGCCTAGCGCTGGATTTAAAGAAGTCCGGTTCCACCCCCGGCAGCAACGATGTCGGCCCCAAGGAGAGCGCCACCCCCGCGCCCACGCCCCCCGCCACAACCGCGGGGACCACGGGCACCACGGCCAGCACCCCCAGCTCCAGCTCCAGCTCCAGCTGCAGCACCAGCACCAGCACCAGCACCAGCACCAGCAGCGGCAGCTCGGGCTACGACTGGCACCAGGCCGCGCTGGCCAAGACGCTGCAGCAGACGCCCACCTACGGGCTGCTGCCCGAGCCCAGCCTGTTCAGCACCGTGCAGCTCTACCGGCAGAACAACAAGCTGTACGGCTCGGTGTTCACGGGCGCGAGCAAGTTCCGCTGCAAGGACTGCAGCGCCGCCTACGACACGCTGGTGGAGCTGACGGTGCACATGAACGAGACGGGCCACTACCGCGACGACAACCGGGACAAGGACTCCGAGAAGGCCAAGCGCTGGTCCAAGCCCAGGAAGCGCTCCCTGATGGAGATGGAGGGGAAGGAGGACGCCCAGAAGGTGCTCAAGTGCATGTACTGCGGCCACTCGTTCGAGTCCCTGCAGGACCTGAGCGTCCACATGATCAAGACTAAGCATTACCAGAAAGTGCCTCTGAAGGAGCCAGTACCAGCCATCACCAAACTGGTCCCTTCCACAAAAAAGCGAGCCCTTCAGGACCTGACGTCCCCGTGCTCCCCCGAGCCAGCAGGGGCCGCCGCGGAGGCCGCCCTGAGCGAGGCGGCCAAGGACCAGAAGACCGCCAACCCCTACGTGACCCCCAACAACCGCTACGGCTACCAGAACGGCGCCAGCTACACCTGGCAGTTCGAGGCCCGCAAAGCGCAGATCCTCAAGTGCATGGAGTGCGGCAGCTCCCACGACACCTTGCAGCAGCTCACCGCCCACATGATGGTCACCGGCCACTTCCTGAAGGTGACCACCTCCGCCTCCAAGAAGGGGAAGCAGCTGGTGCTGGACCCCGTGGTGGAGGAGAAGATCCAGTCCATCCCCCTGCCGCCCACCACGCACACCCGGCTGCCCGCCTCCCACGTCAAGAAGCAGCCCGACTCGCCGGCGGGCTCCGCGACCTCGGACGAGAAGAGGGAGCCGGACAAGGAGAAGGCGCCCGCGGCCGGCGACACGGAGAAGACCATCAAGGAGGAGGGCGAGGAGGCCCCCGAGAAGTGCGAGGCCACGGCGCTCTACCAGTACCTCCGCGAGGAGGACCTGGACGACAGCCCCAAGGGCGGGGTGGACATCCTGAAGTCCCTGGAGAACACGGTCTCCACGGCCATCAGCAAAGCCCAGAACGGCGCGCCCTCGTGGGGCGGCTACCCCAGCATCCACGCGGCCTACCAGCTGCCGGGCGCCGCGAAGCCCCTGCCGGCCGTGCAGAGCGTGCAGATGCAGCCGTCCTACGGCAGCGTGAAGTCGCTGTCCTCGGAGCACGGCGCGCTCCTGCCCTCGCCGGGGAGCCTCACGCCTCCGCCCCACAAGAGCAACGTGTCGGCCATGGAGGAGCTGGTGGAGAAGGTCACGGGGAAGGTCAGCGTGAAGGAGGAGAGGCCCCCGGAGCGGGACAGGGGCTCGCCCGCCAAGGCCGGGTCCCCCGCGGCCAAGGAGAATAAAGACCTGCCCAGGTCGGAGGGCACGGGCGGCCGACCCCAGCCGAGGAAGGGCCTCGAGGCGGAGGCAGGCAAGGCCAGGAAGGAGGGCTCGGTGGACGCCCACACGCCCAACGGCACCGAGCCGCTCAAAGCCAAAGTCACCAACGGCTGCAGCGGCCTGGGCATCGTCACGGACCACTCGCCGGAGCCCTCGTTCGTCAGCCCGCTGAGCGCCCTGCAGTCCATCATGAACACGCACCTGGGCAAGGTGTCCAAGCCCGTGAGCCCGTCGCTGGACCCGCTGGCCATGCTGTACAAAATCAGCAACAGCATGCTGGACAAGCCCGTCTACCCCGCCGCCCCCGCCAAGCAGGCCGACGCCATCGACCGCTACTACTACGAGAACAGCGACCAGCCCATCGACTTGACCAAGGCCAAGAGCAAGCCCCTGGCCCCCGGGGCGGCCGACGCGGTCTCCTCGCCGCTGCGGGAGAGCGCGCTCATGGACATCTCCGACATGGTCAAGAACCTCACGGGCCGGCTCACCCCCAAGTCCTCCACGCCCTCCACGGTGTCCGAGAAGTCGGACGCCGACGCCAGCAGCTTCGAGGAGGCGCTGGACGAGCTGTCCCCCGTCCACAAGCGGAAGGGCCGCCAGTCCAACTGGAACCCCCAGCACCTGCTCATCCTGCAGGCCCAGTTTGCCTCCAGCCTGCGGGAGACGCCCGAGGGGAAGTACATCCTGTCGGACCTGGGCCCGCAGGAGCGGGTGCACATCTCCAAGTTCACGGGGCTCTCCATGACCACCATCAGCCACTGGCTGGCCAACGTCAAGTACCAGCTGAGGAGGACGGGCGGGACCAAGTTCCTGAAGAACCTGGACACGGGCCACCCCGTGTTCTTCTGCAACGATTGTGCCTCTCAGTTCAGAACTGCGCCCACCTACATCGGCCACCTAGAGACACACCTGGGCTTCAGCCTCAAGGACCTCTCCAAGCTGCCCCTCAGCCAGATTCAGGACCCACAGAGCGTCCCCAAGGTCCTGGCCGGCAAGGCCGTGGGCCCGGCGGGGGCGGCCGAGGACGACCTGGGCTCCACATTCCAGTGTAAGCTGTGCAACCGGACTTTTGCGAGCAAGCACGCGGTCAAACTGCACCTTAGCAAGACCCACGGCAAGTCCCCGGAGGACCACCTGATCTACGTGACGGAGCTGGAGAAGCAGTAGCGCCCGGGCGGGCGAGCGCCCCGCCCGGCACATTGCACTAAACGTCGTCTTCACACTGCACTAGGCCCGGCCTGAGCCTCCGAAATCAGCCTTCCTTGGTTGCCGCACGGCCTGTCTGGACCCCGGTTTTTCTTACACACCTTTTGTAGCTGTATTTATATGCTCTCTGTCCGATGGCGCATGTCATTTTTGTTTTTCCGCGAGTCAGAGTCTGACCTTTATTTTCAACATCTGTTCTCGGTGTTCGCTGTCTTTTGTAGGAAATGGTGGGGCACAGACGCAGACGCGGACTGAGCAGGAGGGGACACAAGCAGCAGTGATACAGAGACATCCTAAAAAGTTTCAAAGTTGCCATGACAATAAAGGTCAGGACCCAGTGGTGTCAAATTTAACCCTTTGAGGACTGTAATCGCATTTCTGTGCCTTTCACTCCAAAAAAAAAAAAAAAAAAAAAAAAAAAAAAAAAAAAAAAAAAAAAAAAAAAAAAAAAAAAAAAAAAAAAAAAAAAAAAAAAAAAAAAAAAAAAAAA